TGGCCATTTGTCGGGGGTGATTTGAGTGCAGTATTCCTGCTTCTTGGCAGAATGGGGTTGGACTGGATGGCCCAGGAGGTCTCTTCCAACTCTTTGATTCTATACTTGCTTTGTTGGTCAAATGGAGCTTCCATATAAAGACGCAGTATATCAATTTCTGGGTTGGGGGGGGGGGGGAGAAACGAGGAAGGAAGGCAATAAATAATAGCTTTTCCATCCTCCTTCTAACTTCCCAACAGGCATCTGAAGAAGGAATTTGGAATTGTTGGCTCTTTGTGGTTTTCCAGAAGGATTCTTTCATGCATTCCTTCTGTCTGCGTCGTAAGTTTGGAAACCAAAAGGTGAAATTGATTCATGTTCTTGGAAAGCCATCATAGTTGAAGAGTACCAGCAAATGGAAATACCAATAAATAAGTGAATTCAGCCTGAGTAAGCATGCTATTAGTTAGGATGCCGTCCCTTCTTCAATGTGTTGTTATTACTCTCAAAACTGTAATACAATATTTGTTGCGCTAAGTTTTGGCCGTGCTCTTTTACGCATCTTCTGTTTGCCATTTATTTGTTTTCGTAGGTATATTGTATTAGTTTAGTCACTGGAATGATGCGAAGGAGTCTCAATGCTAATCTCAATCGACGCTCACAATAAGGAGATACTTCACTGTTGTTTCCATCCCAGAAGTTGTGAAGACGAGTCTCGGACTGTTGAATTAATGCAATCTGATGCCACTTGAACTGCCATGGCTCAATGCTATGGGATGCTGGGAGTTATAGTTTCACAAGGTATTTAGCCTTCTCTGCTGGTACCTCCCCATTATTCCATAGCATTGCGCCATGCAGGGGTGGCTCAACCCATTACGCAAAGTAAACATTTGCAGTATCCTCAATATGCCCAAATGTGAACACTGGTGGAGTTTGGGGTCAATAGACCTTGACATTTGGGAGTTGTAGTTGATGGGATTTATGCTTCACCTACAATCAAAGAGCATTCTGAATTCCACCAACAATGGAATTGAACAAAACTTGGCACACAGAACTATCACGTCCAACAGAAAATACAGGAAGAGTTTGTGGGCATTGACCTTGGGTTTGGGAGTTGTAGTTCACCTACATCCAGAGAGCACTGTGGACTCAAACAAAGATGGATCTGGACCCAACTTGGCACAAATCCTCAATATGCCCAAATGTGAACAGCAATGGAGTTTGGGGGAAATAGACCTTAACATTTAGAAGTCAGAAAACAGAAAATAGAGGAAGGGTTTGGTGGGCATTGACCTTGAGTTTGGAGTTGTAGTTCACCTACATCCAGAGAGCACTGTGGATGCAAGCAAGGATGGATCTGGACCAAACTTGGCACAAATCCTCAATATGCCCAAATGTGAACACTGGTGGACTTTGGGGAAAATATACCGTGACATTTGGGAGTTCCAGTCACTGGGATTTATAGTTCATCTATAATTAACGAGCATTCTGAACCTCACCAACAATGGAATTGGGCCAAACTTCCCACACAGAACCCCCATGACCAACAGAAAATACTGTATTTTCTGATAATCTTTGGCAACCCCTCTGCCCAAATGTGACCCCCTAGGGTTCCCGACCCCCATGTTGAGAAACACTGCGCTACATCATAATAACTCCCTCCATTGTTCATACGCTTATCTATTCATCTTGGCTTTAGGCTACCAACTTCATTCTTTGAATTGGTTTCAAACATACTCGAAGATCCCTTTGAATACTGACCCAGACTTAAACAGCTTCTCCCTTTAAATGGTTGCTTATAGGTTACTGCTGCTCTTAAATGCCCTTGTTTACAGTGGCAAAGTTTATTTGGGGGAGGAAAGGCGAGAAGATTGGATAAGGATTTTTTAAAAATTACTTCTGTATTCTATTCCACCTTGTGATCTAAAGCAGTGGACATTTGAAAAGCACAATGCAACTAAAAAAAACCCCTCTCAGTACAAAAGTATTTCTGCATGCCATCTGCCTCATGGCTGTTCAGTTTCAAACTACTCTTACGTATCAAATTCTGTGTTGTTCTACACGCTCAGTAGATAGCCATACTGAGTAGTTGCTGGGATTTATAGTGCACCTACAATCAAAGAGCATTCTGAACCCCACCAATGATGGAATTGAACCAAACTTGGCACACAAAACTCCCATGACCAACAGAAAATACTGGAAGGGTTTGGTGAGCATTGACCTAGAGTTTTGGAGTTATAGTTCACCTACATCCAGAGAGTACTGTGGACTCAAACAGTGATGGCTCTGGACCAAATGTGGCATAAATATTCAATATGCCCAAATGTGAACACTGATGGAGTTTGGGAAAAATAGACCTTGACATTTGGGAGTTGTAGTTGCTGGGATTTATAGTTCACCTACAATCAAAGAGCAATCTGTACCCAACCAAGGATGGAATGGAATAAAACTTGACACACAGAACTCCCATGACCTACAAAATAGTGGAAGGGTTTGGTGGGCATTGACCTAGAATTTTGGAGTTATAGTTCACCTACATCCAGAAGGTACTGTGGACTCAAACAATGATGGCTCTAGACCAAACCTGGCATAAACTCCCAAATGTCAAGGTCTATTTCCCCAAACTCCACCAGTGCTTACATTTGTGCATATTGAGTATTTGAGCCAAGTTTGGTCCAGATCCATCATTGTTTGAGTCTACAGTACTCTCTGGATATAGGTGAACTACAACTCCAAAACTCAAGGTTAATGCTCACCAAACCCTTCCACTATTTTCTGTTGGTCATGGAAGCTTTTTGTGCCAAGTTTGGTTCAATTCCATTGTTGGTGGTGTTCAGAATGCTCTTTGATTGCAGGTGAACTATAAATCCCAGCAACTACAACTCCCAAATGTCAAGGTCTATTTTCCCAAACTCCACCACTGCTTACATTTGTGCATATTGAGTATTTGAGCCAAGTTTGGTCCAGATCCATCATTGTTTGAGTCCAGACTGCTCTCTGGATATAGGTGAACTACAACTCCAAAACTCAAGGTTAATGTTCACCAAACCCTTCCACTATTTTCTGTTGGTCATGGAAGCTTTTTGTGCCAAGTTTGGTTCAATTCCATTGTTGGCGGAGTTCAGAATGCTCTTTGATTGTAGGTGAACTATAAATCCCAGCAACTACAACTCCCAAAAGTCAAGGTCTATTTTTGCCAAACTCCACCAGTGTTCACATTTGGGCAAATTGAGTATTTGAGCCAAGTTTGGTCCAGATCCATCATTGTTGAATCCACACTGCTCTCTGGATGTGGGTGAACAACAACTCCAAAATTCATGATCAATGCTCGCCAAACCCTTCCAGTCTTTTCTGTTGGTCATGGGGGTTTTGTGTGCCAAGTTTGGTTCAATTGCATCATTGGTGGTGTTCAGAATGCTCTTTGACTGTAAGTGAACTATAAATCCCAGCAACTACAACTCCCAAAAGCCAAGGTCTATTTTTGCCAAACTCCACCAATGTTAACATTTGGGCATATTGAATATTTGTGCTAAGTTTTGGTTCAATTCCATCATTGGTGGAGTTCAGATTGCTCTTTGATTGCAGGTTATCTATAAATCCCAGCAACTATAACTCCTAAATGACAAAATCAACCCCACGAGTATTCAAATTTGGACTTAACAGGTATTTGTGCCAAATTTCGGTCAATGAAAATACATTCTGCATATCAGATATTTACATTATGGCTCATAACAGTAGCAAAATTGTATTGTTGAAGGCTTTCATGGCTGGAATCACTAGGTTCTTGTGCGTTTTTTCGGGCTATAGGGCCATGTTCTAGAGGCATTTCTCCTGACGTTTCACCTGCATCTATGGCAAGCATCCTCAGCGACCTCACTACCTCTGAGGATGCTTGCCATAGATGCAGGCGAAACGTCAGGAGAAATGCCTCTAGAACAATGGTTCTCAACCTTCCTAATGCCAAGACCCCTTAATAGAGTTCCTCGTGTTGTGGTGACCCCCAACCATAAAATTATTTTTGTTGCTACTTCATAACTGTTATGTTGCTACTGTTATGAATCCTCATGTTAATATCTAATATGCAGGATGTATTTTCAGTCACTAGACCAAATTTGGCACAAATACCCAATATGCCCAAATTTGAATACTGGTGGGGTTGGGGGTGATTGATTTTGTCATTTGGTAATGCTGGAGTTGCTGGGATTTATAGTTCACCTAAAATCAAAGAGCCTTCTGAACTCCACCAATGATGGAATTGAACCAAACTTGGTACACAGAACTCCCATGACCAACAGAAAATACTGGAAGGGTTTGGTGGGCATTGACTTTGAGTTTGGGAGTTGTAGTTCACCTAAAACCAGAGAGTACTGTGGACTCAAACAATGCTGGATGTGGACCAAACTTGGCATGGATACTCAATATGTCCAAACGTGAACACTGGTGGAGTTTGAGGAAAATAGACCTCGACATTTGGGAGTTGTAGTTGCTGGGATTTATAGTTCACCCACAACATCCTGAACCACACCAACGATAGAATTGGACCAAACTTTCCACCCAAAACCCCCATGACCAACAGAAAATACTATGTTTTCTGATGGTCTTTGGCGACCCCTCTGAGACCCCTTCGCGACCCCCAGAGGGGTCCCGACCCCCAGGTTGAGAAACACTGCTCTAGAACATGGCCCTATAGCCCGAAAAAAACCCACAAGAACCTAGTAGCAAAATTACAGTTATGAAGTAGCAACAAAAAAAAATTGGTTGGTGGTCACCACAACATGGGGAACTGCATTAAGGGGTCTTAATACAGTGCCCCATGTTGTAATGACCACCAAACAAAAAAATTAAGAAGGTTGAGAACCACTGCACTGAGCCATGAGGGTGCCCAATGGCATGGATGTCCCCAACCGAGCCAAGGCAGCTCATAAGTGCATCCCTTCTCCAAGTCTCCCCAAGGTGGTGATGCCCTTAACTTTGTTCTCTCAGGTGCCCCAAGGCAAGTCAAGCGCCACTGCTGGTCTTACCTCCTCCGTTCTTGTAGCAGAGGTAAGGGAACCTCCAGACGTTGGCCAGATCCACCGAGAAGCCGATGACAGAGAGGAGGAAGTCGATCTTCTTGGCCCAGGTCTCCCTCTCCGGCAAAGGGGTCTCTCCGCTGAGGAAAGGGCCACCGCCGCTCTCCAAGAGGCTGGTGCTGGTGTATTGGACGCCGTTCTGCTCCTTGACCAGGATCAGCTCCACATCCTTCTTGAGAGGAGGAGGCGGCGGGCTGCTGTCCTGCTCGGGCGGCTGCGGGCTGCGGGGCTGCATCATCCTCACTTCGGGGAGAAGCCAGCAGAGGAGACAACCCCGAGAGAGGAGAGGAAGGCTCAGGACGTGCCTCTCCAAAAGCTCTCCAAGAGCGAGGCGCAAAAGGCGCACCGAGGAGGAGGAAGAAGAAGAGGAAGAGAGGAGGAGGAGGAGGAAGAGGGCAAGGCAAGGAAGCCACGGGGCCAGGAGGAAAGCACACACAGGCAGGCACCGCCCCGGTCCCAGCCTTCCTCTCTCCTTCTTCCTCCTCCTTGGAAAGAAGTGGAGAACTGGAGACAACTCCAAGGCGTCTTGCTCCAAGCGGTGCTTTGGTTCCAACCAGCCCCGACTTTGCTCCTTCGTCTCTTCCTCTCACCACTGAGCAGGCTTTGTCCCAACCCTCCTCCTTTTCCTGATCTCAACCCCAATAGGAAGGCTTCCTCTCCCTTTCTTCTTCCTCCTCCTCCTTGGAAAGAAGGAGAGACAACTACAAGGCAGCTACTCTTTCCAAGTGCCTCATTGACTTTCTTGCTCCTCTTTCACCACAGATCAAGCTCTCTCCTATCCCTCCTCCTTTTCCTGATCTCAACCCCAACAGGAACCCTTCCTCTTCCTTTCTTCTTCTTCTTCCTCCTCCTCCTTGGAATAAAAGGAGAGACAACTACAAGGCAGCGATTAGTTCCAAGCACCACACTGGCCCCAAGGACTTTCTTTCTACTCTTCCTCTCACCACTGACCAGGCTTGATCCCAACCCTCCTCCTTTTCCTGATCTCAACCCCAATAGGAAGGCTTCCTCTCCCTTTCTTCTTCCTCCTCCTCCTTGGAAAGCAGGAGAGACAACTACAAGGCAGCTACTCTTTCCAAGTGCCTCATTGACTTTCTTGCTCCTCTTTCACCACTGATCAGGCTCTCTCCTATCTCTCCTCCTTTTCCTGATCTCAACTCTAACAGGCACCCTTCCTCTTCCTTTCTTCTTCCTCTTCCTCCTCCTAGGAAAGAATGAGAGACAACTACAAGGCGGCTAGGTCCTCCTCCTTGGAATAAAAGGAGAGACAACTACAAGGCAGGAGAAATGCCTCTAGAACATGGCCCTATAGCCCGAAAAAACCCACAAGAACCTAACTACAAGGCAGCTACTAGTTCTGAGCACCACATTGGTCTCAATGACTTTATTATTCCTCTCACCACTGACCAGGCTTTGTCCCAACCCTCCTCCTTTTCCTGAGCTCAACCCCAACATGAAGCCTTCCTCTCCCTTTCTTCTTCCTCCTCCTCCTTGGAAAGCAGGAGAGACAACTACAAGGCAGCTACTCTTTCCAAGTGCCTCATTGACTTTCTTCCTCCTCTTTCACCACTGATCAGGCTCTCTCCTATCTCTCCTCCTTTTCCTGATCTCAACTCTAACAGGCACCCTTCCTCTTCCTTTCTTCTTCCTCTTCCTCCTCCTAGGAAAGAATGAGAGACAACTACAAGGCGGCTAGGTCCTCCTCCTTGGAATAAAAGGAGAGACAACTACAAGGCAGGAGAAATGCCTCTAGAACATGGCCCTATAGCCCGAAAAAACCCACAAGAACCTAACTACAAGGCAGCTACTAGTTCTGAGCACCACATTGGTCTCAATGACTTTCTTATTCCTCTCACCATTGACCAGGCTTTGTCCCAACCCTCCTCCTTTTCCTGATCTCAACCCCAAAATGAATTCTTCCTCTATCTTTCTTCTTCCTCCTCCTCCTCAGAAAGAAGTGGAGACAACTACAAGGCAGCTAGTTCCCCCTCCTCCTCCTTGGAAAGAAGGCAAGACAACTACAAGGCAGCTACTGGTTCAAAGCACAGCTTTGGCCCCAAGGACTTTCTCCCATGCCTCTTCCTCTGAACACTGACTAGGTTCTGTCCTATCCCTCCTCCTTTTCCTGCTCACAGTCCCTCAATGGGAATCCTTCCTCTCTCCTTCTTCCTCCTCCTTGGAAAGAAGTGGAGAACTGGAGACAACTCCAAGGCGCCTTGCTCCAAGCAGCACTTTGCTTCCAACGAGACTTTGCTCCTTCGTCTCCTCCTTTTACCACTGACCAGGCTTTGTCCCAAACCTCCTCCTTTTCCTGATCTCAGCCCCTCAACAGGAAACCTTCTTCTCCCTTTCTTCTTCCTCCTCCTTGGAAAGAAGTGGAAACAACTACAAGATAGCTAGTTCCAAGCACCACCTTGGCCCCAAGGACTTTCTTCCTTCTCTTCTTCTCAACACTGACTAGGCTCTGTCATATCCTTCTTCCTTCCTGCATCTCAACTCCTCAACAAGAAGCCTTCCTCTACAAGGCAGCTTCTCGTTCCAAGCACCACATTGCCCCCCCTCCCTCCCCCCAAGGACTTTCTTCTACTCTTTCTCTCACTACTGACCAGGCTTGGCCCCAACCCTCCTTTTCCTGATCTCAACCTCAACAGGAAGCCTTCCTCTCCCTTTCTTCTTCCTCCTTCTCCTTGGAAAGAAGGAGAGACAACTACAAGGCAGCTACTAGTTCCAAGCCCCAAGGACTTTCTTCCTTTCCTCTGAACACTGACTTTACTCTGTCCTAGCCCTCTTCTTTTTCCTGATCACAATCCCTCAATGGAGATATTTTTTCACTCACCACAGACTAGGCTCTGTCCTATCCCTCCTCCTTCCCTTGGTCTCAGCCCCTCAATAGGAAACCTTCTTCTCCCTTTCTTCTTCCTCCTCCTTGGAAAGAAGTGGAAACAACTACAAGATAGCTAGTTCCAAGCACCACCTTGGCCCCAAGGACTTTCTTCCTTCTCTTCTTCTCAACACTGACTAGGCTCTGTCATATCCTTCTTCCTTCCTGCATCTCAACTCCTCAACAAGAAGCCTTCCTCTTCCTTTTGTCTTCCTTTTCCTCCTTGGAAAGCAGTGGAGACAACTATAAGGCAGCTAGTTCCAAGTGCCGTCCTTGCACTTCTCTTTGGGGACCCGAGGAACCCAGATTCTTTCCCAATTCAGCTTGGTAGAGTTTGGGCACCATGTATGCACACTTGGTTTGACCAAACTATTTTTGATCATTCAGTTACATTTTTCTTCCCATATAAATCAGATTATTCTGTTTACAAGTGAGACCAGCTACCAAATGTTGGCATCTGGAGTGTTTTTTTTTTTTGCTTAGGAATCCAACTTACCCAGCTGTGTTCTTAATAACCATACTAAGCCATTCTATTCCACTCTGCATGGTTCACCCCAACCAAAACTCAGCATTCTGCAGCCATTGAGCATGCTCATTCCTCATTGGGTATTTCCCCTTTTAAGAATCCCCTTACTCAAGTTTATTGTACAACTCAAGTTCATGTTGTGCAACATACTTGAGCATGTTGATGAGCATCCATCTTCTGTGGAGTGCTGCCCTTTGGACTATGAACAGTTAGCACACAAGTCTACCATTATAATGGCAAGTGTCCCAATTCCTGCTGCTTCTTTAGATGAGAATTCTTTCTGACCCTGCTTTTTTTATTTTGCAAAGGCAGACACGTATTGGAAAGTGGACCCAATTTGTCTCCTCCTGTGAGATTACTGATTCAATGATAACCCTGGCCAACACACATTTGGTGCCTTGAATGTTAGCCATCTTTCTAGGTATATTTGATCTGCCAGTTTCAAACAATTGCACCAAGTTCAAACAATTGCACACATTGCACCAGCTCTAGTTTCTTTGATATGGTTATCATAGTTTCTATGGGCAAGCAGATCATGGCTGATAGGTAGCATATGTTCTGTATCTCACAAAAAAAGCTGATAGATACAGAACATATGCTACCTACCAGCCATGATCTGCTTGCCCATAGAAACTATGATAACCATATCAAAGAAACTAGAGCTGTCTATCCAATGTATGAGGGTTGAATAAAAAGTAATGCCTCCACCTTCATAACTCCTCAACAGATGGCAGTACTGGTATGTGGCAGCTACTAGCTTGTTCAGTAGACTCTCCTCACCTTTGTAACTCTTCAACAAATGGCAGTACTGGTATGTGGCAGGTACTGGCTTGTTCAGTAGACTCTCCTCTACAGTTCCATTTTGGCGGGAAGCCTTAGCATTGAACAGTTGTGTTGTTAAAGTGCGAAGTATGGAACCCTGCACAGATGGTTGGTCAATGCGACTTAAGCAACATGCAGTCATTGAATTTTTGACAGCAGAAGGTGTCACCTCAACATCTTTAAACTTAACTCACCCAATGATGCACAGTACTCACATCAACACAATCACCATAAACAGCTTGCATTCTCTGATGAATCTCCTTTTGGATGACACCTTCTGCTGTCAAGAATTCAATGACTGCACGTTGCTTAAGTCGCATTGACAAACTGTCTGTGCAGAGTTCCATACTTTGCACTTTAATAACACAACCATTCAATGCTAAGGCTTCCCGCCAAAATGGAACTGTAGAGGAGAGTCTACTGAACAAGCCAGTACCTGCCACGTACCTGTACCGCCATCTGTTGAGGAGTTACGAAGGTGGAGGCATTACTTTTCATTCAACCTTCGTAATTTTCAGAATCAGCACCCCAAACAACCCCAGGAACTGGCTTAAAACACAAGACACCAAGATTTTGGTGGTTGTTGACTATGTAATCACAGACCGTTTATAAAAATACATTTATAATCAGGTTTCTGCCTCCTGCAGAATTCTGAGATTTGTAGTTTAAAGGAGGAGCCTTTAACAGCCTCGCTAAACTACAAACCCCAGAATTCTGCAGGAGGCAGAAACCTGATTTTAAGTTGATTTTTTCAATGCTATGGCGTTGTATTTTGCAAGTTCTTTCACCTTCTCTGCCATACTACAACTCCCAGGGTTCCATAGCATTGAGGCATGGCAGTTTAAAGCCAGATACTGTGGATTATCTACTTGGATATTCTGTGTTATATGGCTGTGCGGAAGGGATTAATTCTTATCTGAGATTATCTGCCAGTGTAGACTCATATAATCCAGTTCAAAGCAGATAATCTGGAATCAGATCCTGGGATACAGGGCAGTGGAGATCCAGCCTCACCACATCATCACTTTTGCTAAATTCCAGTGAGTGCGACACTTACAATCCAGGAAGCCACTCTTCTCATCACATTAGTTTTGCTTCAAGTGTACAATAGAGTATTCTTTGCGTATTTGCCCAAACTGAACCCAACACGCAACTTTCCCCACCTCCCTGAACCTTCAGCCTACTCACCAATGGATGGCATCTCACAGCAGAAGATGGTCCTGGGTAGAGTTGGGTCATCCATCACTGCCTCTTCACCCTCCTTTCTATGGAGATAGGAACACAGGTCTTGGCAAGCCAGCAGGAAGCTTTTTCAAAAACCCATTCTCTCTGGCAGATTGAATTATGATCTCAATCAAACCTGCCAGATGTCCTGCTCTGGAGAATCCGGAGGGCCTTTTGCTTCCCCTTACCGGAAAGACACCCTGTGTCTCCCCTCCCAAGTCTTTGCAATGGACAAGAAGAAATCAAACAATAATAATATCTATATAAATAAAAATATAATGTTCGTTTGTGGAATTAACATAACTCAAAAAACCACTGGATGAATTGACACCAAATTTGGACACAATACACCTATCAGGGCA